GAACTCCACTTCGAGCTGGGCCCTATGGAGCCCGTCGCCGAAGATCACCGGGAGGGTTATTACCCCCTCGGAATCAATAGTATCGCCGGTGAAGCCGGCAAGAGGGGTCTTCATGGGCCGAAGGGACCCCCTCTCCAGATGCAGCTCTCTGAAGGTGCTGAGGTACATTACATTGACGGAGCTGCCCGTGTCAATGTAAGTTCGGTGAATAATGGTGTCGTTGATCTCCGTTCGAATTACCAAGGCATCCCTGTGAGGAGAGGCAGTAGGAGGGAGATCTGCGTTGGTGAAGGTGATGGGTTCCTCCCTCAATCGCTTTATCGGGGGCATATGAGTGACTTCCCCTACATAAAGCGATTGAGCCCACTTCTTTCGCTGGCTGGTGGAATCACCCCCTGTGTTGCCACCGGTGATCATGAGGATGTGGCGTTTCTTCTCCTGGTAGTGGGGGTATTCCTCCTCCTCTTCTTCCAAGTTTCCGATCTCCCTCTTCTTGCCGAGGGGGATGATATTCGGATTTACCCAAGCGTTTACCTTCGAGTGATGCCCTCGGGGAGGCCCCTGATGAGAAGGTCCCTCCTGCCGAGGGCTCTGGACAAATTGGGACAGGTGCCCCGCCTGTATTAATCTCTCGATGGTCGTCTTCAGCTGATGGCAGTCATCGGTCCTGTGCCCCTGGTGCCGATGGAAGCGACAGTAGGGGAACTGAGGGTTGATAGCGTGTACCTCCGGGGGTGCGCGAGAGTCGCGCTCAACGAGGCCCCTCTCCTCGGCAAAATCGAGGATGATGCTGACGGGGTGCGTCAATGGTGTCCGAGGGCGGTCCAGGAGGATGGGCTGGGCCCAAGTCTTAGGGTTGCTCTTATAACCTCCCCCGGGCTTGGCTTGGCTTTGCCGAGGGCGGTCATCAGAGGGTCCCGAAGTCTTGGGGCGATTTGGAGGAGCCCCCGGCCCTCGGTTATGCTTGTTGTCAGCCCTCGGGGGCTGCTGGTCCGAATGTTGGTGATATTTCTCCACCTCCTCGGCCTCAGCATACCGTTCCCCCCGCTGCAAGGCCCTTATGTAGTCGCGGGGAGGTTCAATAATGAGGCTCCTGGAAAAGTTGCCGGTGCGAAGGACGGTTTGTAGGAGGGCCAGGAGGGTCCCGTCGTCAGCACCGTCGACCTTGTCGGCCTCCGTCCTCCAGTGCTCTAGGAAATCCCGAAGGGTCTCATCCTTCTTTTGGCGTATTGTTAGGAGGTGGGAGAAGTGCTTCCTTGTGCGACGTCTCCCGGAAAATTGTGTCAAGAATCGCTGGGCGAGTTCTTGCCACGAATCAATGCAGCCCTCGGGCAGCCTGTTGAACCATTCGTACGCCGGCCCCTCTAAGGTGGAGAGGAACCAACGACACAAATACTCGTCTGACGCCCCCACCATCATCATGCTGTTTTGGTATTTGCTGTAATGTTCCTGGGGGTCCGTTTTCCCGCTGTAGGGCTGTATGTGTTGCCCTCGGTATTTTTCCGGGATCCGGGCCGCCAATACCCTTGGGGTAAATGGCGTCAGAGTCCGGAGCTGAATGACGTGTTCCCCGGAGCCCTCGGCCACCTTCTTCTGTAATTCCTCCATTTTGGCCATCATGGCCTCGTATTTGAGGTCTGAGTGAGGGGTGGAGGTGGTGGCGTGAGCTTTGTTAGACTCCATCTCGTCGAGCCGGCGTTGGAGGGCCGCAATAATCTCGTCCCGGGGATCCCTCGGGAGGGTCTCCGCCCCCTGCGAACGAACCCGGGCCGAGTGGGCCTGGTTGATTTGGTGCCGGGCATCATCGGCATGAAGGGGTGCCTTGCCTTTGTCCCGAGGGGGACGCTCCTCGTCTGCCCTCGAAACAGATCCCCCGCTTTCCTAAGGCCTTTGGAGTGCTTTCCCCCCGAGGCGGTCTTGGACCCCTCGGCGGTCTGGCCCTCCTCCGAGCCGGTTGAGGGCGGAAGTACGGGGCCTCTCCCTGTTGTCATTATGGCGGTCCCGGGACTGAACTTCCTGGGAGGATGTATCTTGGGCCACCACCCCTTCGTCGTTCCTTACCTGAGGGGTGGGATTTCCGAAGGGGTGTGGCAGAGGGGGAAGTATGATATTTTCCCCGATCTGAGGGTGAGCTGGAGCCAGGGTGCCGAAAGCACCCGGGTTCTGGGTGAGCGTTTGGATGAAGGCGGAGAGCGCCGATTGTACGTCGATGGTGAGAACCGGAGGGCTGACTTGGTCATCGCTCCGGTTTTTCTTCTTGGCCTCGATGCCGAGGCGGGCATCGGGGGCGTTTTGTTGGATCTGAAGGCGTAGGTCGACAGCCGCCTGTTCCAGCCCAGCGAGGACACCGCCCTCGGGAGCCCTGTGAGAGGCTTCGGGGGCGTTGACGTCGCCGAGGGGCAGGTTCTTGTCTTCTACGTTCTTTGAGTTGGCACGTGTTGTCCTCACCATTTTGATAGAGGGCTAGTGTTTGTGTTTGGTCGAGGGGGAGGGTTTCTTACTCGATTGTTCAACCTCTCAACGAGAGCACCAAATGATGGATAGTGTACCCGAGGGGTAGCTTATCCGAGGGGTTATTGTGGAGAATAACTTAGAGTGAAGTTAGAGCAAGTAAATATATATATAGAGAGAGTGTATTATAAATGTGGAGCGTTTTCAACGTGTTATGACTTGGTTACAAATGGGGAAAAGGGGTGCTATTTATAGTAGCAATAAATGCCGGGCAGGGACACGTGTCAAGCGCTCATTGGCCGAGGGGTCACCTCAACTGGTTGGCGCTGGCAGCCGCATGTGGCCGCATTTAATGCGGCTATTGGATGGGACGTCTGTGCAGAGTACGGTGATCTGTACGCATGTGAGGCGGATATCTTGTCGAGTGAGATGCCTTCGGCCATAGAGCAGTAACCGAAGGCTCTTCCTCCCGATGGCACCCCTGGTGCCGAGGGCTCACAGTGCCGAGGGATGCTGTTTTCGCCGTTTTCTCCCAGTTTCTTAGTTTGCTTGAGAAACCCGCCCTGTGATAATTTGGAGCCTTCGGCCAGGGGGCCGAAGGCACCCCTGTGCGTTGTGCGGACTGCTTGGTACTCTGGGCGCTGTGATTTGGGCCTGTTGGGCCTTTTGGGCCTGTTGGGCCTTTGCTTGGAGTAGTAGGAGTCTGTGGGCCGGGGGTTCCCGGGCCTTATACTCCATCAACCGTATCTCTTGAGAGATAGATTTTTGGACGGCATTCGTGTCCGCAGGTCGCCCGCGCACACGAGTCGGGGTTTTTCTTCTCCGTTTCGGGATTTGATCGGCACCCACCCCCCCTGCGCGTAAGAGAGAGCCTTTCCCTTTAGGAATCTTAACTCCTTAAAAGAGGCTTCCCTTTATAAGGGGGTGAAAATCCCTTGAGTTTTTCGGTGTGGGATAAAACACACTAGAAACTCATCATTTTCCCAGTTTTTCCATTTCAACGAGCGAACTTCGAGAATCAATTTCTCATTCACCCGTTATCCGTTTTGAGCGTACCATATATCGAATTGTAGCCCTTAACAAGGACAATCCGAAACCACTTTGACCCGACCCAAATCGGAAGTGGACCCCACTCAAATAATTGCTCCAAAATGACCATTTAATGCAATTTTTAACACATCTTTCCAACATTTACCAACCATGCCTCTATCAAGAAGGTCTGCGATTCTCATATCAGTCCTGCCTTCAAGCCTCAGTTTGATGATACCGCAACCTTCGCCCGCTAGAGAGAGGTGTAACAGGAAGATTATTCCTCTTGAGGACTACCAGACCGGCTGTTAGTCCATCTTGCATTTATTTTTCCTTTAATTTGGCTTATATAACCTGTTTTATTAGATGATGGTTAAAGTGTTTCCGATTTGCTATTGGGCGCTCTGATTAAAGTGTTTTATCAGACCAGAGTTTTACGTAAAAGAGATGTTGAATTTCGATCAATTTGCTAATGAAGGCTCGTGTTTCCATTGGATTAGTTCCTTGGACTGTCTACTGCAAGGATTCCAACAATAAAAATACACAAGAGGCCAGCGTTTTGCCAAGTTCAAGTTTTTGGTGGCCAAAAGATCATTGTTAGCGAGAAAAGGGGTTTTACAAAGTTCTAACATACCGATTATCTGAACTGTCCAAGGAAGGCGGAGTTGTGTCTAACAGTTTCAATGCTAAGCTTTTGGGATGTCATGGCCTCTTACAAAAGGCCTTTTTATAAAGCATCCATTGATGGATATGTTTGAAGTTTTTGTTTTGTTTCTCAATACTTTACATCTTGAGCAAAGTGTAGCCCGTATATATTACGATTTGAGCCTTAGTTTTCTTTGTTCTTCTATCACTATAATTATAATTTCTATTCTATAAGTCATGTAAATAATCAACTTAACTTTTAATAACTTCTTCATAAATCTCGATAAATTTTGTGTGTTTGAGCCTTAGTTTTTCATTTGACAAAAAACTAAATATTTAACTAAAATCAAGAACTTAATTTTTACTAGAGTTTTTTTAGTCAGACTAATAGTCGAAAACAATGAACTTTTATAAACAACGCCATAACTTTTAATGATGTAACTATTCCTCTTTTAATTTATTTGCTTAACTATTCCTCATTTATAAACATTATTGCTGAAAATCAATTAATAACAAGCATTATTGTTTGAAATTGAAAGATATTAGTGTGTCTAACAAGCATTATTGTTTGAAATAAGAAGATATATTCGTGAGTAAAAGATCACAACCTATTAACGTTAGAACATCTATTTAAGATTTCCCAACTCTTTAGAATGAATTTTAACTTCTATTCTAAAATTGGTAACTTTTTAAAATAAATCCTTAAATCTTTACACATAAACAATGACTATTATTATCGTAGGTGTAAAGTTTAAGAGAAATATTCATCAAAAGTTTCACTACATTTTAATAAAAGCGAAATTTGAATCATCACAACAACCCATTTTAAAATTTTATAACTCAAACACTACACTTCACAAATGCAAATTCCATCAAATTCCAAATGAAGCTTTACTTTTGGGGGAATCTTGGAGGATGTATACTAGTTAATTTGAGGAGAAAACCCCATACATAGTACAGAGTAATACAGTATCCGTACTTAGAATATTTCTAAGAAGACATCCAATATGTTAATAATCATTTTACATCATCAAAACTAAACATACAAGTCTAAAAAGAATAGGAAGTCAGCAACACAGGAACATTAGCTTATATATTCGTATAGCTAAATTGTAAATACACTCGAAGCAAAGAAGTCGATTGATTTTATTTACCAATGAAACATTTTAACAGCCACTTGGTAGAACTCCAAACAAAGCATTCAGTTAAAGCTCTAAGGCCTATTTTAAACTCCCATTCTTATAAAATCTGAAACTCTTGAGCTCAATGTGATAGTCTCTTGCAGACATATCTTCAAACACCTTAAATGCCCCAAGTACATATTTTGAAAGGAGGGAGAATAAACTTGGGTACTAGAGATTCTGATAAAATTCAAACTTGAATGGTGCTCACTAGGGGAACATGGGACTTTATAATAAACGGGTAGTTTTCCAACTCCAAGGGAGGCAGTTGCATTCCGATCAGTAGGGGCCTGGACATTTGCCACAGAAAATTCAAAAGGACCTGTAAGTTCAGCATCAATTGCTGAGGCGTTTGGGATACAGACATCATCAATCGGGGTTCCAACCATGGTGGCATATGAGATCTCTTCAGAGAATTCAATAGGGCATTGACTAGGGATCACATAACTTGCAAAAGAACCTGTCAAATCAGCTTCTAAAACAACTAAAACAAAGTTAACTACCGGAGTAGCATCAAGAACCTGTGTAAGCACAGGGGCATGAAATCACAGCATTGTAGCAACCATTTTTTTAAAAGAAAGGTAATCCTCTCAACAAAAGTTTTATTTGTACTTAACTACTCCCTCCGGTTCTTATTAAAGTTCCCACTTTCCTTTTTGGGATGTCCCTTATTTAAGTTCACACTTCCATTTTAGGAAACAAAACAATGCATAACAGTGTCAAACAGTGCCAAACAGTGTCCAAACAGTGTCAAACAGTGCCAAACAGTACACTCCACAGTAAAGTCAAATTCATTTTCTTAATATATGTGAAGTCAAACCGGGAACTTTAATAAGAACCGGAGGGAGTAATTCATAATATCAAATAGGAAGGATATTTAATAGTCGTTTTAATTTCAATATGCGCTTATCTAACCTGTGACATCTCAACTAAAGAGCTATCTAATTTATACTACCATGGAATTAATAGTTATTTAAACATTATTATGCAGTGAACTAATTATAATTGACCTTCTCTCAAACAAATTAAAATTAAAGATATGCAGCAAGGTGTCTGCTCAAATATAAGGCTTCAGTGTGAAATAATGGAAAAGGTTACTCCCTGAGGAGCCCTGGCAGATATATTTATATTAGAGAGAGTTTAATGTAAAGTACAATACTGAGCCTATAATAATTCTATTACACCCCCTCAAACTGTGTGGGAGATACAACACACAGGTTGTCTTTCAAAAAATGAAAACGTTGACTACATAGACTTTTAGTAAAAATATCTGTCAGCTGTAGATGAGTAGGAACATGTTGAACAATCAGATCTCCATGAGCAACCCGTTCGCGAACAAAATGATAATCAATCTGAATATGTTTACTGCGAGCATGCTGAACTGGATTTGCAGTCAAGTAAGAAGCAGATATATTATCACATAATAAATGTACCGGCTCGGATATAGGCCATCCAAGTTCGAACAGGACTGAGCGGATATGTAGTGTGTCTTGTACAGTGTAAGCAATGGCACGATATTCCGCTTCTGTGGAAGACTTGGACATAGTGGGCTACTTCTTAGCCTTCCAGGAAACCAAATTAGGGCCCAAAAATACAGCGAAACCTGTGGTAGACCGAGAACTATCAGGACAACCTGCCCAATCTGCATCGGAGTAAGCAACTATACAGGTTGGCAGATTAGACTGCTGAAGCCAAAGTCCATGATCTCGTGTTCTCTGCAAGTATCTGAAAATTCTTTTGACTGCAAAAATATGAGTGGTGCGAGGAGCATGCATGAACTGAGACACTAAGTGTACTGCATAAGTAATATCTGGCCGTGTCAAAGTTAAATATTGTAATGCACCAACCATGCTGCGATACTCAGTAGAATCAGATAATAACTCACCATCAGAAATAGACAGAGTGGTACGGGAAGCTAACGGGGTGCGAACTGGTTTGACAGTATGAAGGTGAAAACGAGCTAGAAGATCAGTAACATATTTATGTTGAGAGAGAAACAAACCTTTAGCTGAACGAATGGCCTCAACACCCAGAAAATAATGGAGATTACCCAAGTCTTTCATAGCAAAATGTTTAGATATAATTGAAATAAATTGGGTAACAGAGAATTCAGAATTGCCAGTAATAATAATATCATCCACATATAGTAATAAATAAATAATAGTATTATTCTGGCGGTATATGAACAAAGAATTGTCGGATTTGCTACAGGAAAAATTATGTTGTAGAAGAAAGCTACTAAATCTATGAAACCAGGCTCGTGGAGCTTGCTTAAGGCCATAAATGGCCTTGCACAGACGACATATATGATTAGGAAAGTGAGGGTGAATAAAACCACGGGGCTGCCGCATATAAACTTCTTCTGTCAGATTCCCATGTAAGAAGGCATTTTTAACATCAAATTGTCGTATACCCCACCCAAAAGAAATAACTAGAGTAAGTACAATACGAACAGTGGTGGGTTTAACGACAGGACTAAAAGTTTCAGAGAAATCAATACCTGCCTGCTGATTAAAACCCTGTGCAACTAATCGAGCTTTATGGCGCTCTAAGGATCCATCAGAATGATATTTAGTTTTATAAATCCACTTACAACCAACAATATTTTTAGAGTTATCAAAGGGCACCAAGTCCCACGTATTATTATTAATGAGTGCATTAAATTCATCAGCCATCGCCTCACACCATTTTAATTGTTTATTTGCCTCAGTAAAACAGGTAGGATCTGCATTGATAGTAACTGTACTTAAATTAAAAATGGTTTTAGGCTTAAAAATTCCTGACTTAGCACGGGTTTGCATGGGATGGTGATTAACTACCGTAGTGGACGTAGGTGAGGTGGTTTCAGGTGAGACAGTGTCGGTTGATGTTGTCTGTGGCGTGCTAGACGAAGTATGGGAGGAGAGATGGGATGGTGGGGGGCTGGTTGTGGACGTGGGATAGGAGGAATGGGGCGACGGTACACACAGAGTGATAAGAATACTTGGTGACCGAGGTAGCGATGATGGGGTTGGTGCTGGGGCGGCCGTAAGTGTGGGAACAGGCTGGAGAGGTGGGTCAAGAGTGATATCGGTGAGATGCATAGGAGATGATGTAGTAGAAATAGACCTGGATGGAGCAGATGAGAGAGTTTTAAAAGGATATGTGTCCTCATGAAACCTAACATGACGGTTTACATAGACTCGACCTGTGAAAGGATCCAAACAACGATAGCCTTTATAACCGGATGCATAGCCAAGGAAAACACACTGAACTGAACGAGGGGATAATTTATTGGCTGAGGTGGCATTAAAATTTGGATAACAGGCAGAGCCAAACACTCGCATAAAGGAGTAATCTGGAACTCGGTTAAACAGTTTTTGATACGGAGTAAGACCATTTAGGGTTGGAGAGGGTAATCTATTAATAATATATGCAGCAGTAAATATGGCATCGACCCAATAGTGACTCGGAACCGAAGCTTCAAGAAGCATGGTCCTAGTTAACTCAAGTAAATGACGATGCTTGCGCTCAGCAACCCCATTCTGTTGAGGTGTGTTAGGGCAAGATTTTCTAAAGTAAATGCTATTAGCAGAGAAAAATTGCTGCATATTATTATTAACAAATTCACCTCCCCGTCACTTTGAAAAATTTTAATTTTCTGATTAAAAAGATTTTCAACCAAAGTTTTAAAATTTTTAAAGTGCATGAAAACTTCATTTTTGTGACACATGGGATATATCCAAGTATAACGAGAAAAATCATCAATGAAACATACATGATACTTGAATCCCAAATTTGAATACACAGGTGACTGCCACACATCAGAATGAATAATCTCCGAAAGAAAAATAGAATTATGACTAGCATCCACAAAAGGTAAACGTTGTGATTTTCCTAAACGACAGGTCACACACTCATGAGTAAAGGGAGTATGACTACATAAAAATTGTTTTCTCTTAAGAAACTGTAAAGTACTATCACCACAGTGACCTAATCTACGGTGCCACACAGGGCCAGAAGCTAAAACGGAAGCAAAAACTAATGGTGACGCAGACGACATATGGAGAGGATAAAGTGGTCCACTACTAGTAGCTCGCAGAAGTATTGCCCCCGTTGCTTTGTCCTTAACCAAGAAAGAATTTTTATCAAAAATTACAGTACAATTATTATCAGCACAGAGCCTTTTAATGGAAATTAAATTATATTTTAACTGAGGCACATGATAAACGGATTTTAAGGTGAGAGGACGACCAGATGTAGGTAAAGCAACATCACCAATATTACATATGGGAAGATGGGCACCATTAGCAACACTAACAGAATTATAGCCGGTGTAGGGAGATTTATTAACTAAATTACCTTCAGATGCAGTCATATGAGCAGAAGCACCTGAATCAGGAAACCATAGAGCAGGAGTAGTGTCACCGGGAGTAGTCAACAGAGCAAGAGACGTTGGTTGTGTGAAACGAGAAGGACAGTTAATGGCAGAATGACCTGTAGAAAAACAAATTTGACAGACAACAGGATGGGGAACAGATCCGAGAATACCTCCGTCTAATGGCAAGCCTGTATGACTACTGTTAGTGACACAGATCGGTAAAGCATTAATATTTAAATGTGACACAGCAGAATTACAAATAACAGTACCCGTAGATGTCACACCCCCTGCAGGAGTACTCGGCTGCCCACCCCCTCCGGAGTAATAAACTGGATGCCCCTGCGGAAACCAATATGCCTGCTGCTGCTGTCCTCGGCCACGCCCCCTACCTCCGCGGCCTCTGCCGCGCCCACGTCCTCGCCCGCGCTGTGGAGCGCCGTTCTGCCGACTCTGCCCGACCGGGTAAGTCTGCTGCCCGACCGGGTGAGTGGATCCCGAATTCTGCTGGGTTGGCTGCTGCCCAGACGACTGCCTGGGATATGAAACAGCCGCGCCAAATGCCTGATGAATGGACTGGGACTCCTGGGAGCGGAGATAAAGGACCCGCTGCTCTAGCTCAAGAAGATGATTACGGAGAGTCTCAAACGGGAAATTTTGTCCAAATAAGGACACAACAGTGTATAAAGATTCATACTCAGGTCCTAGACCCATAATAGTAGTTTTTAAAATTTCACGCTGAGGCACAGGGCAATTGATTGTGGCAAGATCATCAGCTAATGTTTTAATTTCTCGCAAATAATTATCCATGGACTGATCAGGTTTCTTTTTAATTTGATTAAATAAACGCTTTAATTCCATAGATCTCGCTAAACTAGCAGACATAAACCGAGACTCCAACCGTTCCCAAATTTCATATGAATGTTTTAAATCACGTACATCGATAAGAACATCCCTAGATAGGGTTGCAAATAACCATGAACGGATGGTTTGATCAATTCTTAACCAAGTAGAAAATTCGGGATTGTGGATTTGACGGTTGAGAGCATCTATGGAATAAGCAGGGGGTACCTGAATGGAGCCATCAACCATGCCAAGGAGAGCTTGGGACACCAAAAACGATTCGAACTGTGTACGCCAGGTAATGTAGTCTTCCACCGCTAATAATTTGGTAGTTACAATATTTGTGACATTAGTTGCCACATGTGAGATACTCTGGGCAAGATCTGTGAGGAGTGAGCCAGTCAGGATGGCTGCTGGTGTGCAAGAGGGAGGGATGACAGAGGAGACACCAGGTGAGCCAACAAAAGTGGAACCGGCAAACGAGGATCCAGCCGAGAAGGGTGGCGTGTAGAGACCTGCGGCCGCTGGCATGGCAGATGGCTGCCACGGAATTCCCGGATGAAGAGTGTGAAACAGTGAGTAGGTACCGGGAATTTCAGCGATGAAGGAAGAAGAGGCTGGCGACGGATTCACCTGCGGCGGCGCGGTCAGAGGGGTGGCGGCGCTGGTGATGACTGAGGCTGCGTCGGTGGCGGCTGATGTGACCGGCGCCATGGTCGAAGAAGTTGGAGCCACTGTGGAGAATTCCATGGATCCGACGGAGATGCGTCCTGCGGTGGCGCTTTGCTGAGAGACTGCGGAAGCCGTGCGGCGGCGCTTTGCTGAGAGGCTACGGAGCAGTGCGGCGACACTTTGCTGAGAGGCTGCGGAAGCCGTGCGGCGGCACTCTGCTAAGAAGCTGCGGAAGCCGTGCGGCGGCACTCTGCTGAGAAGCTGCGGAAGCCGTGCGGCGGCGCTCTGCTGAGAAGCTGCGGAGCAGTGCGGCGGCGCTTTGCTGAGAGGATGCGGAAAAAAAAATTAGGTATCAGGGAAGAGAGAGGAAAAATTGAGGGCTCTGATACCATGTGAAATAATGGAAAAGGTTACTCCCTGAGGAGCCCTGACAGATATATTTATATTAGAGAGAGTTTAATGTAAAGTACAATACTGAGCCTATAATAATTCTATTATTCAGGTCCACCAAATTTTACGAGAAGAATTCCATTAATCTGAGCTCAAATTTTCATCAGATTGAGTAATATATAAAAAAAGTAACTCATACACCTTCATTAAATAATTTTAAAAAGGTATATAGCATAACTTGTAATTATAAAGTATCAAAAGCCTAATCGTATAAATTCCTCCAGTTGAACTAACCACAACTCTCTTTTTCCATGCATTAAAATTATTTAAAAGTAAAATGCAAGGATTTTCAAATAATTTTTATCAGAAAATGTACAACTTATAAAAGAAAACTGACAACTTCTTATTTAAAAAGAAATTACTCGATTTGGAAAGCATAAGTTCACTGGATTGTAAACTACCAACACATTTACGCATCTTAAGTCAAAATTGAACTACTAAATCTTTTCAACAAACATATCATTTTTAAAAGTGTAAACTATTGATATCATTTTCACTGACATGTTTTAACAAACAGTTAGTAGACATAATTTAAAATCCATATCTTTTATTATACAAAAGCAAAATGAAAACTGCACAGTGTTCCCGCCCAAAAAGTGTACAGTAATGGGTCGGGCCTGTAAAGTGGGTCCAAAATCAGGTCATGCTGAAAATCAAGTCACTATCTATTTGTTGCATTTTGGCTTAAAACCGGATGCAAGAGCTCACATATAGGATTTAATTGTTGTAGCAACATGTCTTTTCAAAACTTTTTGGAACATTAAAAGCAATGTCTGCTCACAGTATCACATCTCTTCAAAACTTTGTTTTGCATTTAATGAAACTTTATTTTGCATTTAATGAAGTGAGATCTCATATGTTAGAATCTAACTTTAAAGTACAAGCACATTAAATACTTTGCAACTATCTAGGAAAATGGGTTTCAAAAGAAATCCATTGGTTATTAAAGCATCATTGCCTACAGGATAATAAACCCATATGTACAAACAACCCGCCTAAGTTGAAGTATAAATAGCCTTCCATTTTCAGTTCAGTAGCCATCCCACTACCACACAACAGCTTCCATACAACATCAAAATATCATTAACCATTGTAAGCATAACTTCAAATTCCATTTCCACTCCAATGCCTGGGGTCAACTAGATCTCATTTTTGTTTGGGTAACAGTTCTTCAATGAAGAGGATCACCAAAAGCACAATCATCAACCAAAAACAACCGAACAAAACCGAAAATGAAGTCTTCAAACTTGACTACCAAAAGTATATTTATAAATATATTAGTAATAAATAGTACATTAAATATATAGTACTCTGTATATGATATTGTATTGTTTATACATGGTTTAGTCAAGATACATAGTATAAAGCTAAGTGTATCACACATATTGTTTATAGAGATGGGGGCAGTTAGTTCGTAGCTCATATTATACTACTATATATACTAATATATTATACTCATTATACCAATAGTGTACTAATAATAAGATTATACTATTCATACAATTTATATAATATATATATATATATATATATATTCATATATATATATATATATATATATTCATATATATATATATATATATAATTAAAAAACTAATATATTGTATTACATTCATAGAATACTGTATATAAGGAGTACGAGAGCAGTTACAGAATAAAAATATTTAAATATATGGTATATTGTATTGTAAACATTACAGATTACAGATTATAGAGACTATAGAAATTATATGAATTAAACAGTTAATAGATATAGAGGGCATACAAAATATTATTATGTATTTTCACCAACTTAAAACAAATTACTAAACAGAGCAGTCAATTTCAATATAACTGAGTCATCAAAAGGGGACCAGGACCAATATATTTGTTTGCTGAATGATTTAAACACCATTCTTATCTCGAAGGCCAATTTCATGTATGCCAAATTAAACATTATATCTCAATATTAAGAGATAATAATACATATTTGTCACAGAAGGTTTACTTTACAAATTTAAAAAATAATTTAATGTTCATCGGTGATCAAAACCAGATCTGAAATTTTGACAGACCCGGTTACAAAATGATACACCCGATGTGATTTTTTTATCCTCAATCCATACAAAAATGATTAAATTTACAGAACTTGGTTAACTGTTTGAAAATCGTTTTGTTAAAATCCGCATATCCATGACTACATGTCATGCATTCAAAAAAAAATTATTTTGTTCACACAGAATACCAGATACTCGACCAAAATCAAAGGCATGAACATTGTTACAAAGCACATATGTACAATTCACCAAAACGTTTGCTGGAACAAAAAATAGAGGACGAAAATACCAAACAAACTAAACACCGAACGCAAGCGAAATCGTGTAAGTGATACCGAAATGATAAAAGAAGCAGTTAGGTCTGAGATCCTTTGAAGCTCACTCGGCCTTCGATGCCCTAACAATGGTGGAATAAGGCTTCATCAGACAAATAATGGACACTTACTTCACAGTAATGGGACTGTCGAATGTGTTGGTATAAGATTACAGACAAGAACAGTAGAGTAGACATCTGTGAAGGAGAAGGGAAGTTGGGAGAAGATCGTAGAAGGATGTAGAAGTGTAGAGAACCGATGGTTTATGATATTGGCCGCAGGGTAAAGGTCGTATATATAATGGGGTTTAGGTTTAGGTTATTGGGCTGGAGTAAATGCAGGTTGTTGTGTTGGGTGTTGTCTAATTGGGCCAATGATTGTTTTCTAAATCAGGTCGGAAATTGGGCTGGGTAATATAGACGATCCTCATTCCATTCTTAGGTTGTTAAAAGTATCATTCTCATTATCATTTTAATATTTTATTAAAATACAAAATTGTGCAATTTTTTATTAGTAACTCTTAATTATTAATAATTGTTAATTGTTAATTATTAAATTTTTAATAATTCATTATTATTTGTAATTACGAATGTAACACATTTATCGGTGTGGTTCACTTTCTTTTATTAGGGCATTGACTTTATCTAATTTATGTATTTATAAAAAAAACTAAAATTTTAATTTATATGTATTTATATGTATATATTATTTAAATATTTTTTTCACTTTGTTAAAATTAAATTAATTGAAATTCTCTTTCTTTGCTTTTAGTCCGTAGAAAACACTGATTGTAGGGTCGATAGTCAGCATTCTTCTCGAGTGGTTGGAATCGGTTCCAGATCTTCTAAATGTACAAGATCAATGGCAAATGAAGGAATCTCTAATATTTTTGTAGACAAAACAAAAAGTATTTAGCTTCTTGGTTTATACTACGTTCGTTCATATTACTTATGTCGTATTTAAAATGTTGGGTTTTAAAATAACGTAGGTTTACATTTTTTATATTTTAGTTGTTAGGGGTGTTATGTCGTAATTAGCTATGCTTGGATGTCCAATTCAAGGTTTTCATGTTAATGGGTGTAATTCATTACGTTGTTAAGATTTTAGAATTTTAGAAATTTTAGAAATTTAAATTTAAATTTAAATTTTTGAATAAGATGTCAATCTGGTGTTCCAAATCATGAGTTGACTCTAAAGGTTGGTACTCCAGTTATGCTTCTAAGGAACATTGATCATTTTATGGCCTTATGCAATAAAACGAGGTTGATTATTACAAGGTTTGAAAATCATGTTCTTGGAGCTACAATTTTAGGAGAAAAATTTGATGGAAGTAGTCATAGTGAGATTGACAGTAAGACCTTTAGATGCAAGAATACCATTGAAGTTCCAAAGAAGGCAGTTTACAATCATGACCTCTTATGCGATCACTATAAACAAGAGTTAAGATCAATCTCTTTAACATGTTGAACTTTTACTAAAAGAAATAGTCTTCACTCATGGTCAACTGTTTGTTGCAGTGTCAAGAATTACCAATCGCAAAGGGTTGAAAATATTGATTTGTGATGAGGTTGATCAACAGATCGATCATACTACTTATGTTGTTAATAAAGAATCTTTCAGATTTTTTAGTTTCACTATTAACGCTTATTATTTTACTTATCACTTTGCGCTTTCACATGTTAAATCTCTTTTATAATATTAACATTTTCCCTTCCTCTTCGACGTTTTAATTGCTCTTTAACTACAAACACTTATTACACTACGTATTACTTACCACTTTATTTGAGTTCAATTATTTTTGTGTTCTTATAATAGACTTCTTAATCACACATTGGTAAATTTTCATCAGTGCATCGCACGGGTGAGAATCTAGTTTCTTATTAGAGCAAATTGAGATGGATGAAGAGTGGTAATATTTGATTCGTGAAGATGAATTTGCAGTAGCGTTTCTCCTTACCAAACATGATTCTATGCTTACAATTAGATCCGAGAGGATAAGGAGGGGAAAGAGACCGGTGGTGACCGGTGCCAGAAAGTGTGTGATTCCGGCAATCTTCATCTCCCATGTAGATTTAATTTTTTGCGGCTGATTGTCCACTGATATGCTAGCCTTTCTCAGTAGCTAATCATAGTAGGCGAAGTTGAGAACAACTCATCACCAGTATTCCATCCAAACATGATAAGGACGAACAGAGCAATCGACAGACTCATTTGATGAGATCGAAGAAGGAGATCAGGAGAATATGCGAGAAGAGAGAGAAGAAGAGAATGGATCGGATGGATAACATACGGAGTATTTTTTTTATTTGAGAAGTTGCCGATTTATTAAAAAAGGTACAAAGTTTGAATAATTTACAGCAAATGCCATTAATGATAGCAGCGGTTCTAATCTAATCGGACGATGGATATTAGTCATCTGATATGAATGAGAGCGCATGTTTTGAACTAATCTAACGGTGAGGAATACTTCTCACTTTTCAGCTTAACACACACTTCTCATGGGATCTTTTCTCTCTCTAAGAGAGATAAGTTCTCAGGTCCAGCAGCCTCCGGCCTGAACACCGTTCGAACATTGTCATTTGGGGCACTTCACGGTGGAATTTTTTGATGAATTTTCTTTACCATATTCCTTATCAAGTCTAGTTTATCCATACCAAATTTCAGCTAAAAATGCGATCGGGAAGATAGTCAAATAATTCGTTGGAGTTAACTGCGTTTTTCTATGTATAATTTGGCGTAGTAAACTTCAATGAATTATTTGACTGCCTTCCGAATCCAATTTTGAGCTGAAATTTGGTATGGATAAACTAGACCTGATGCGGAACATGCTCAAAAACGTTCATCAAAACATTCCATCGGGAACCGCCCCCAACAACGGTTTTCGGACGGCGTTCGGACGGGAAGGTGCTGGACAGGAGAATTCCTCTATATATATATACATACTCCCTCCGTCCCATTGGATTTTGCCAACTTTTCTCTTCCGGTTGTCCCAAAAAACTTTGCCACTTTCCTATTAAAGCAACTAATTTGTGGTTCTGCACATTTCTCTCTCCTCTGTATAAATTTCAACCACGCAGTTTTTACTATTCTTATTTCTCACATACTTTGCACTTGGCAAAGTCCACCGGGACGGAGGTAGTATTAAAGTATTAAACAACATAAAAAAATTGCTCGGCCCCAGCCCAACTCGTTACCCGGCCGGGTAGACCTGCCCGACCCGGACCCGGTAGCTACCCGGGCCGGTTCCGGGTCTCAACAAACCCAAATAAAGCCCGCCCAGGCCCGGCCCGGGTCCATCCCTATTAATAACTCATTAAGTTACACATAAAAACATATTTACCACTTTGTTAAGTACACTTTAAATATTGTTATTATTAACTACTCCCTCCATCTCAAATTAATTTGTAAAGTCAACATTTTTGATCATCTAATGTTAAAGTTAAATCCTCCCAATTGATAATTAATTCAATTTTTCATAAAATTTATATATTTAGAAACTAAAATAAAATATCTATTAGCGAATCCAAATTAGAATATAATTACAAACCGATATCCTCTTTTAGGGAATAAAATGAAACAGTTTGAAAAAACAAAGTTAACATTGGAAATCAATTTTGGACGGAAGTAATATTATTTACACCATTCTAGAAAAGTATAAAAACAATAATAAGATACTCCATATGTTTATCGAGTTCCAAAAGATAACAAATGAGTTTTAAATAAATCTAAAAAGTATAAGCATTCAAATTTGTTTAGTTTTTGTCTGGTCTCATCTAGAGGACCATTGTTCTTCTTGGTGTTGATTTTCTCTGTAGGGTGACTTCCATGGATGGTTGAGAATCTAATATGGGACGATGCTTCAGAGGCTGAGGGGCCTATATGGTGCATCCGGGTGTATGTACACCCGGCCTAAATAAGAAAGACAGCCCAACAATCAATACTTGCCAAAAAAAATTCGGTGACATTTTTGTAATATAAGTGAAAAATTACGGTTTCTGCTAAATGAGCAATAGTGTACATTTAATGAGCATCTGGCATATTTTATTGAGTATTTAGAGGCTAACAATGAGTATCATGATTTGTGCTTCATATCTTCTAATTCATTTTTTTCCCTTATTTTTTCTTTTATAAAAACTAATTGAATTATATCTATAATAAACTTCTATGAATTTCCATATGCGAATTTAATGCAATATGATACTTTTAAAATATGCATTAATATAACATTTTAAAATGAGCATAACATCAGTACCAAATGAGTATACGTAACTTATAAAATGTTTATTGATATGAAAATCGTAAGATTTGTTAGTTTAACATAACGATATGTTCATTGAGCACCAAACCTCATTTATTGAGATGAAAATCAAGCTTTCTGTTAAATGAGCATACCATTACCATCAAATGAGCATACATAACTTACGAAATGAGTATAAAAAATTTTAAAAACGCATTTTTGTGTGCTCATTCATTTTGGACGTTATACTCATTTTAATTTAACATAAAACTCATTTTAGCATCAGGCGTGGTCTACCGTGGCGGGCGAACTTCATCCAACGGTGCACCAGACACTGAAGCTCGAATCCGCCGCCTTAGGTTCGGAATCAACAGCCTCCATCCGAAGGCTGTGCAGCGGCGATTGCAGACAGATTGCGAACTTCATTCGACGGCACACCAGACACTGAAGCTCGAATCCGCCGCCTTAGGTTCGGAATCAACAGCCTCCATCCGAAGGCTGTGCAGCGGCGATTGCAGACTGATGGCGATGGTGTTGTTGCTTCGTGCGTGGAAGGCCATGGTGGGCGGAGAAGAGAGATGTGTGCAGATCCTCATCCATCGATTCCCAAGACATTAGCGAGCGCCGAGCAGCCTTCTCCATCCCTAATCTTTACCACCAGATTTGTAATTAATTGCAAAAATACCCGGAAGTATGGTGAGGACCGTACATCCGGGTGTACGATATAATTTGCGCTAGTCCTTTGTGTCGTTCCCGGGTATTCTTGTGAAAGTGGTTACTCGTCCGACCAAGAATAGTTCAATTGCTCATTTGGACCGCTTGTGTATCCTTGAGTGTGAGGGTTGTGTTTGGACAAATATACTCTATGAGATGGTCTGGTTTGTTTAATTTTGGTCTAGCTCACTCACACCTAAATACACTAATCAAATTAAATTTAAATTGATCAATCAACATCAGGAATATTCTCTCTAATTATGGACATCCTTATGCTAGTTGTTTAATACTCCTTCCG